GAGGGTCCCAATGGGGTGGTGGCTTTTACGGTTATCGGCTAAAATTTTGGCTCTTTTACGGCTATCGGTTAATTTTTTTCAGTTACGGTTAACGAAAAAGTTAAAAATTAACTTCTTTTGTTTCAAAAAGTTAAATATTAATTAACCCGTATTTTTTTGTATCTTTAAATCAAAATAAAGGTCTTCGGATCATCTCGGGATGAAATAAGCTATTCTTTTGAAAAAGTTTAATATTTTATATATCAAAAGGTTGAATACTTTTTATAAAGTATTCCACTTCTAATACATTATTTTACACATAGAAATGTCAATAGTCAATTTAAAAATAATCTTCGTGAAAAAGCAAAAGCAGACACGCAAACGCCCAACTCAAGGCCCGGGGCGCGACATTCATTATAACAGAAATGGCCGTTTTCACACTAGAGAAGGATTATTCGTGTGAGACGGGTTATCCGTTTGTTGATTCGCGTCAGATAGGTAATACGTCTTAATCTGAAAATGGAATAGTTTTAATTTTGAATGAACAATCCGCCTGACTTTTGAAGACAGGACTATCCGCTCCAGATAGCCTGTGTACAGCCGCCCCCTCCCCCGCAGAAAAATCGGAGAAGGGGTGTCTGTGGGGAGGGCGCGACTGTACACAGGCTAGTTTCAGACGGATGATCAATTTCTAGCTCTAGTGTGTGCCTAGGTCTTGGTTAACACCTAAAAGGCGCTTTGCCTAACGTGCGTACGGAGTCACACTAGCCGGGAAGTAAAAAACGTAATCATAAGTAAGTTTAGCACTTTCCTTAAAAGTAGCAAATTTAGGTAACAATTTCTTTTACGGTTAACTCTTTTTTACCCTATTTACGGCTAACGGTTAAAATTTTTCAATTTTTACGGCTATCGACTAAATTTTTGGCCGTTTTACGCCTATCGGTTAACCCCATTGAGACCCTCTGATCCAGGGTCCAGTTGTTCGAAGGCCGATTAGCGCTAACCTAGGGTTAAACTTTAACCCGGGTCCCTTTTTCCTTTCATCAAAAGCATTTTCTCGGACAATTTTCTCTATTCTTTTTCTAGTAGCCAATCATCAAATTGTTGACAAAAAGAATTAAACTGAATTTGCTTTTGAAGCTTTCATATCTGAATTCAAATTTCGAACTAACACTGGGTTATCTTAACCCAGCTTTGAACAACCCGGCCCTGGTCTACAACTGGGAGATCCGGCACTACTCATTGGTTTGTCGCGGTGGACTTGCCGACATTTTATATACCTTCTGCCACAGCCTGCGAAAACAGTCGTCTCCCCTCGCCCCTCGTCGCTAGCGTCGTTTTGCCCGTCCCTAATATAACGGCGAGGAGCTAGGAGCCGAGACGGCTGCTCTTCTCACGCTACTTCTGTCAGTCACCCTTGATGGCAATGCTGATTTCAGTGCTGAGTTGTCTCGCCCCATTTAAGGGAATCCGGATTTCGGAATAAGAGGGACATTTTTTGCTTGTGGAACCCGGAATCCAGTACCTAAAATCCGGAATCCACAGCGTTTAAATCCAGAATACAAGACTGTCTTGGGGCGAGTTGTCCGCTGAAGACTCGTATAGCCTGCGTAGCATGGCGGTTTTGTCGAGCCGAGGCGCACGAGCGGCGAAGCCGCGAATTAGGTACTGAAGCAACCACTGATAATGGAGTAAAGTTAAAAGGGAAAAATGGTAATGCTTATTTGAAATCCGGAGAACTGACGACCAAAATCTGTGGAAAACTTCAATGGCTGTTTATTTATTCATTTTTTTCAGTTTACAACATCATGCCTTGTATTTTCCTGGTTTATACTCCATTGAAAGTTCATGGCAGACCGCATCTTCAAAAATGTGAAACTGGGTTCGAGCTCCTATGCCACATTGTTTCGTCTACTTCAGCCCTTCATTAACTTACTAAGCTCTTCTCTAAATTTAAACAAATCGAACATATCCCGCAAGTTAAGATTTGTTTCTAGACATCTGTAAAAATAATCTGGACATTCATCACGGAGTGCATAGAGATAAATTAACGCCTGTCCGTTCAATTTTGGCAAGACGGCCTTGCAAATGTCGTCTAAACCAATTTCCTTAAACCAGTCTTTTACCTCATTTGCTGTCCAGGCTGCTACTCCAGACAATTCAGGGGTGAGTTCTCGCACCTTTTCAACGGGTTTCTCGTGTTCAACAGTGAGGTAATTTCCTTGATTCTCTCGTCCTCTGTCGCCCAATTCTTTCTTGAGTTTTCCAATTGCTGCCTCCACATTAAAACTGTTTCTGAGGTCGATCCAAAGTTTTGTCCCCACGATCATTCCCAGCCAACCGTCCGGCTTATAGTTTTGTTGCATCATCAGAGGAATAATATCTTTTCTCAGCTGATAAGCGTACTCTGCCTCTGAACGACAGTTCGGACTTTCCTTGTATTGGTGTGATACACATACAAGAACAACGGAAGCATTTTCAACAGCTTTAGCCATTGCCTCTAAGGTCGATCCTCCCATCTGCTCCAGATCCATCCACACTCTGTATCCACTTGCTTGAAGTCTGTTTTTCACTTCAACCAGAACTTCCTGGGAATCCCATTGGTAGCTGATCATCACGTGATTTCCGGTTGCTTTTGTCATCTCCGAGTTCCTCGCCGTCTTTCCTTCGAGCTCCCACAATGCACCTGCAGCTGCTTTCTGTACTTCTGGGTCGTCACTCTGCTGAAGTCCTCGAAGAATATCTAAGGTTTCTTTATCTTGAGTGATGGCTTTCTTATTGTTCTCGTCGAAAGCTAACACCCAAAGCGCATTGACTGCACTAGCTTTCTCACTATTGTCGTTTGAAGTTTTGATGATAGAAACTAGGACCTGTATGGCACCCTTCTCGCCCAGAACTCTTTTGTTGGTATCATTTATCGCGAGGCGACTGAGTCCTTCAGCGAGTTCTTTTGCCGAGAACCCATCAAATTTTCTACGTTCAGACTCAAAGGCCTTTTGCAAAAGTGACGTTAAAGCTCCTAAAATTTCTTCAGCCGCAAGAATAAGATGATTGCTTTCCTCGTCCACGACGTAAGCCAAACTGAGAAGAGCAAGAGGGGACACGATGGCGATATCGGATTTTGCGAAATAAACTAAAGTTTCTTTCCCTTCAAAGTCTACGTTGGCTTTGACTAAGTCAGTTTTTCTGGCCAAGTTATACAGAATGTTGAAGCAACATCCCAGAATTCGAATAGCTCGAACTGGCCTTCCGCTCCCTTCAGCCTGCGTGGTCGTGAACACATCTTCAACTTGCCGACTTTGCATCAGGCAAAGCGAAACAACCTCAGTTGTCTTTGCACATGCTACGCAAAACCCTTTATGAAACTCCGCAAAGTTTTGTATCACAAGCAGAACAAGAATAAGGGTTTCCGACGTTAGGTGATCCATCCTGTCTGTTTCAATAACCGATGGATTTCCCGATTGGACCTCATTCCTACAGTGTATTTTTACACATTCGATGTACGAATCAAACAACTGTTTAGCAAGCATGGAGAATAAAGCTGCTCCCTCTATGTCCAAGATAAAATTTGCAATTAAGCTATACTTTTGATCTTCAGACGTTCCGGGTGAGAAAGCAGCTTTTATGCTTCTTTTGCGAAGTTTGAGAACTTCTTTGTTTATCTTTGATAACAAATCTTTATCACTGAAAGCATTCTCTTTTTCCGATAAACGCCGAAGCTTTTCGATGCTACAATACAACAGGTTAAGCTCCCTTGAAAATTCTGGATACTGATGTGTATATTCTTGTAGCTTTTCCGAAGATGAAAGGTCTATTTCCGAATCGAGTAGCGACTCTTCTTCCAAATCCTCGACGTTTGCGATGAGTTGACGGTGGCCTGTCATCTCAATACGCGCAACTGTGTTCGGTCGATGGTCGATAGCAAAAACATGTTTACCATTTCCACACCCCATCCTTCATAAGCAGATACCTAGATAGGAAAGGTGTTCGTTACATCACCAACTCCGCACCTGAAATATTCAGCTGATTCGACTTACTTCGAGAGCCTCTCGCACGATTCCAAACCAATTCCAGCGCCTGTGCTCTTTCATGACACGTTGAAAGCACCACTCAGATNGTGTTCGTTACATCACCAACTCCGCACCTGAAATATTCAGCTGATTCGACTTACTTCGAGAGCCTCTCGCACGATTCCAAACCAATTCCAGCGCCTGTGCTCTTTCATGACACGTTGAAAGCACCACTCAGATATTACGTTGTGTCGTTTTCTTCTGTGTATAGTACTTAAGTATATTTTCCACAAGATGGCTTACATGCGTTGCTTTGGCGGCCATGTTTTTATGATGTTTATTAGCAACACTTGGGATACATGCGTATTTTATGTAAATGATGCCAAGCAGTCGTCACGCATCACAAAAGAAAGAGAATTGTTCTACTGTTGTTGGCCGAGTTCGACTCCTCGACCACGCTTTGAATAGCCACCTGCTCTGTTTCCCACCGTTTAACATTTTTGACATTGTTATCCTTCATTTTAATAATTTTTTTTTGTAAATTCACTCGTTCTCGCGATGCATTCGCGCCATAAGTACTGGCCAAGATTAATGAAAGTTAAACTAGTTAAAATAGTTAACAGTCGACCCTATCTAACCGGCATTTGTACCAAAAGTGGTGCCGAAGGTAAATGAGGGTTAAAGTAGTTCAAACAATCATCAATTACAAAAAGGTACAAGAAAGTAATCAGAGTTGAAGCAAAGAAATGTAAGAACGAATAAGAAGGGAAATTACTGGCCGGGGAATTGAACCGAGAAAAGGAGAAGCTATCTAATAAGCGATTTTGAATCGCGAACATCGAAAAAATTTCATTTAAAAGCAACCCACAAGCGAAACGTAACTGGAACAAATTTTGCTGAGAAAATATCTGGGGCTTATTACAGAGATATTAATCCAAACATAAAAAAGTTGAACATAATGCTCCTTGGGAGGATTAGTCGATTTGTCTGATGTCCAAGTCACCATGGCCAAGATATTTAAATCCCTTAACTTAGTCTACCCTAATTGTTGTCCCTTGTAAACATGTCTGAGCTGTTACGTACATACATCGGGAACTTGCTTAACCCTTTTAATCAACATTCAAATTCTCATGAATACTGGTCTCCATGTTTCCTTGAAGAACTCAGTTGTTGAAAGAATTTGTTTAAAGATCAAAGCATTTTCACTTGATGGGTTCATTTTGTTAATTCTCATAACCTTTTATATTGATCATGCAATGACATAAGTAGGAGAAACTTAAAGGGATTTAAAGGGATAATTACGCATTTTTCAGTAGTTATCTTGATATCAATCTCGTGCCCAGAGGCTGCGATCCTTTTGGTCAGCACCAAGGATCACTTAATTCTTGGCTATGGTGCGTGTCGCCGGCCTAGATCATAGAGTGGATCACGAATGTTTCAGTCGTTGGAAATAAAGGTTTATACTGAATGAATCACTACGAAACCCGAGGAGGGACTTCCAACATCGGACATCGCAAATCGGAGCATCGGATATCAGACATCGGACATCGGGACATCGGATATCAGACATCAGACATCAGACATCGGACATCGGACATCGAACATCAGGACATCAGACATTGGGCATCAGACATCGAACATCAGACGTCAGTCATCGGACATCAGTCTTCAGACATCGGACATCAGACATCGGACATCGGTAATCAGACATCAGACATCAGACATCGGACATCAGACATCAGACATCGGACAACAGACAACGGACATCGGCCATCAGACGTCGGACGTCAGTCATCAGACATCGGACATCAAACATCAGACATCGGGCATCGGACATCGGACATCGGACATCGGACATCGGACATCGGACACAGAACATCAGACATCAGAAATCGGACATGAGACATGAGACATCAGACATCGGCCATCAGACTTTGAACATCGGACATCAGCCATCAGGCATCAGACATCGGACATCGTCACTAGGTTTGCAAACAGTTTACCAAGGTTCCCTAAGACGCTTCTTCAATCTCCCCTTGTTACTGACGGGTGCTATGGACATGCAGACCCTACTCATTATATATAACTGTCAAAAAACTATCATAAAACAACATCACCTTACAGATAATTCCTGTTTAATTCTTAACCAAGGACCCTCTACTTCTGAAGTTACATAGAAGTTTTTTTTGAACATTTTCAACGAAGTTCTGATCTACTACAAGGTTAATGGCTACTAGTGAGTCTTTGGTCCGTGCTGCTGGATGTTACCAAGGTCTGCATTGAGTACAGATAAAACGAACTGGCCTGTGTCAAATACGCGATCTAAAAACGCACGAAAATCTCCTTGATCTTGTAAGTAGGTAAGCCACATGAGGTGCCAGTAAAAATTCCCGCCTTTTTTACCGTCAAATTCCTTCTGAGGACAACAGTGGCGGAACGAACTGTATGCGGGTGAAGCCAAAAGTTGGTTGCTCTGTCATTGTTACATTTTGTTGTCACGCCATCGAAGACGTGAGCTGAAAATGAAAAGGGACATTTTCGGTTAACAACTGGTTCATGCGCATGCTTGCACGTATCTGAGCGTCATATCTAGTTATAAAGCAAGCACGCGGGAAGTTAGCACGGAGAGCGCGAAAGAAGCGTTAAAGTTGCTTGCAGCGCAACCGAAAGCACCTCTACCTTCTTGAGTGTTTTTTAAACTTTCAAAGTTCTTCAGAACTCGATATACGCATAGTTGAAAGCTTGAGCGGGTTGTTTTATTATATTGCCAACGCCGCAATTCTTTTTGCAAGAAAAATTCGCATTGGTATANAGCGTCATATCTAGTTATAAAGCAAGCACGCGGGAAGTTAGCACGGAGAGCGCGAAAGAAGCGTTAAAGTTGCTTGCAGCGCAACCGAAAGCACCTCTACCTTCTTGAGTGTTTTTTAAACTTTCAAAGTTCTTCAGAACTCGATATACGCATAGTTGAAAGCTTGAGCGGGTTGTTTTATTATATTGCCAACGCCGCAATTCTTTTTGCAAGAAAAATTCGCATTGGTATATTTCATGCGCCAGTTATTTTTGCATGAGCAACTTAGGGATCGTCGACATATTCACTTGTTCCCTGCTTGACGTCAACTGGACGTTTAGGCCAGACCCCCCTCCCCACCTCCCTCACCCACTTGAGATTTTGCTGCCCCAAAAGTCACTGCATTCTCAGAGTCTCTACAGTTTGCCTGTCTGTCGCAACACCTGCATAATCTGCTTTCTTGTTGACGTTGTGAATGCCGACTACAGTCTTCAGAAAAGAAAACTAAAATCGGTAATAAAAGGTCGCCATGTTTTCAAACAGCTTTCTTCATGTCTCTTGTTCACAAACGTATTTACGATATCAGCAAACTTGGGAATATTTGGTACACTCAGTATAGGATGAAATTCAAAAGATCACTATATGCACTATATGCACCGACTTCACATTTCCAGTCTACTGAACTATGCTTAATAATAATAATAATAATAATAATAACTTTATTTAACTTTAAAAAAAATTATGTACATAATTTACAGAAATATTTGAAGTAAGAATTAAGCACTATATAACATTAAGAATTATATAAATAGTAAAAATAGCAATCACTTTGTCAATAACGATTTCGCAAATACATTCCTTGCGGCTCAGATGCGGTCAATGACTCTTGCAGGCAGTCCAGAGTTTATATTAAGTCATTACAAACCAGAATTATTCGCCTCTGATATTAAAAGAAAAAGAAATAAAAGAATAAAATCTCGTATTCCTAAAATTCCTAATTCTTTAAAAAAGATCCTTAAAAACAAAAAAAATACATACATACATTCTTATATGGCGCATTTACAAAGCTCAATGCGCCTCTTTAATAATGTAAGTGTACCCTTCTAAGCGGAACAGTTTGCTGTTGATAAAATACCGTAAAATTCCGAAAATAAGCCCCGGGGCTTATATTTTTCAAAGGCCCTTTTCGAGGGGCTTATTTTTGGAGGGGCTTATATTTGGAGGGGCTTATCTACGGAAGGAAATTTGCGTTTCGAAATCGATTGGGCTAGCCTCATAGTTGGAAGTAAATTTACCGTTTTTGTTTTGTTTTACTTTGTATTCGAGGGTATCTTTCCAAGTACAAACCCCTGGGGGGCTTATATTTGGAGGGGCGATTTAACGGAGGGTTTCTTGCTTTACCGGTTTAGGGGGCTTATATTTGGAGGGTCTTATACATGGAGGGGCTTATTTTCGGAATTTTACGGTACCCCGCACTAACTTCTCCTTATCCCTCTTCCGCCTCCTCCCACCAAACGTTCAGTCGACGTTGAGCGAGGAACAAGTGAATGTGCACTGATACCTAGGGTATCGCATACCCTATAAAGGGACGGAAAAGTGATGATAATAAACGGGTTGTCGAATTTTTTTGGTATACCGTAAATGATCGATTAAGCGCCGCTACTCGAATAAGCACCGCACCTTTACCGAAAATAATTTAATAAGCACCGAGGTCCTAGTTTTGGTATTTCCAAATAAACGCCACACCTTTGTTACGGCGCTTGATATTTAACAGTATTCCTCGAGCCCGAATGGACTCTGAGCCAATAGCCACTGAGGCCGAAGGCCGAATGGCTTTTGACTCAGAGGCCATGAGGGCGAGAGGAATAATTGTTTTAGTAAAATCCAACTATTTGGTCAATAATATCGAGAAAAAAAAAATTAAGCTAGTATCAGTTAAAGCTAGACTTTAATCATTTTTTGCCCGCCAAATTGCCGGCGCCTTTCGCTGTTAATGGGCTATAACATATAGCCTAGTAGTAGCTCAACCAATCAGAACGTAGCATTGATAATAGACCACTAGTTGGATTTTACTAAAAAGAGATATCAAAACCATATCGCTTGAGAAATAAGACCACGACCAACTCAACTCTGAGTTCTCTCTATATTCCCCTCAGTGTTTTGCCGGTAGTTGAAAAAAGCGCCGCTCTCGAATAAGCGCAGCTGACCTTTAAATTGGAAAATGAAACTGAAGGACCGCGGCGCTTAATCGATCATTTACGGTAGGCGTATCCCGCAAATAAATACACCCTAAGTTTAATTATGTATCCTACGCCCTATATAACTATTTACTTTTCTTTTTAGTGTTGAAATCTCGGCCATCTCACGGAATGGACAAAAAAATAGACTTGATAGACTTGACTATTTACATTACACACTTGCCAAATATTTGCATTTTAAACCTGATGGAGGCCAAAAAAAATATATATATATATATGCCTAGTTCCTTTTTAACCTCGCCTATATAGCGAAAAATTTGCTATATTTTCACAAAAGGAAAAAGAATATAATTTACTCACAGTTTCCGCCCATGTTGTGCTGTCCGGTTATCGAGTCTCCTTTGTAACCGTCAAAGGGGTGCAGACCTGTTGGGTGATTGTTCACAGAAGAACGGCCATACCTAAAGTCATTAAAACAAACATCAGGTTCATAAAATGTATTATCTGTTTAAGGACAAGGCCACTCCGGCAAGGACGTCATTTTTTTAGATGACAATATGTTTAGTCTCTGTCGTTTCTTAGAGCTTTCAATACAAAGTTCACCGGATCCTAACGAAATTCTTCTCAAAAGATTGTAACAATAGCCTTTTGAAAGTCTGGGAAGGGTATAATACGGGATTTCATTGAGTACATGGCTTTGCGAGGTGATGTTCAGGACTGCAGGAAGTTAAGCATAGTGGTGCAAGTGCCGTCAAGTGACTTCTCCAGAGTCAAAGTCAGTAACCAGAAGTCAGATTTAAGCCAATCCTGAATACGTTAGGATCCTGAATAGGACGCTTATTTCTGCTTGTTTTCGCTGCAGTGGTTTCTTTTATTTATGAGGGTCTAGGTCTATTATTGACACTATGAACGTTATTAAAACCTCACCAGTTTGCCCCAAATATACTCCAACACGACGTTACCCCTCGAAACTCTTGCGTGTACTTTATTTTGGTCCAGTAACCTTTGATTAACGTCAGCGCCCCTGGATCTATGGTCTTGCCACAGCCACGCAAGTATGTGCTACCAGAGATGACGAGTCCATAGTTTTCCTCGCTGTAGGTCAGCGTAACGCCTCGTTTGAAAGTGCTTTCAATCCACGCACGGGTGACAATCTTCCAATCTACAAAAAAAGAAAAAAATGGAAAAACATTTTGTCTTTCTTTAAAGCTATGAATCGGTGCTATAAGAAAACCATGTCAGTTGACCATGACTCTCGCTCCGAAGTCCAGCCTTTAATGTCCTCTTAGCGCTTGTCGCTAGTTTAAGCAACTATTAGACAAAACAAAATTTTAGGACGTCCAACGGGAATCTGGTAAATCTAGAGGAAATCAGGCCTTTATTGAACCTTCACGCTCAACAAAACGTGACATCTGCTTGTAAAAGTCGAGGTCCGGAAATCAGGTAACCGTGTAGCGATGAAAGTCAGCAAACTAAGAGGCGGTAACAGTCAGTACAAATGGCTGATTTAGAGTGATACAACACGAGTGTAAGTAAAAGCAGGAGCGATTGTTTTTCGTAAAATAAAAAAAAAACCTATCTACAGATTTTCATCGCAAAATGGCTCCTCCATGATCTGGTGCTTGCTGTACAAGGGGCAATTAGCACTGGCCAAATTGACTTTTGCTAACTAGTCTGCTATTTTAAAGATGATGGACTTAACGGAAAAACGATGAAAGTATTACACAAGCACTCATTCTGCTGGAACTTTGCTTTAAATTTACTCTTATTACAAACATTTTAACAAAAAACTACCAAAGAAGTGGCAAAGCAATGAATAGATTAGATGTACTTGACCTTTCTTTAAGATGCCAGTAAAATTTAGTTTCGCATTTATGCCAGCCTTTTCACGGAATTACTCCTATGCGCATGCTTTGGAGGATTTGTTTATCTTTCGCAAGTTGTGCACTAAAACTGTAAAAAAGGATGACTGCACAAGCGGTATCAAAACTCTGGTCCCCATGGACCACCTCATAGTGCAGATAAGTTAACTACTTTAAATTGAGTGTATAAAATCACTTTCATCCATCGGATAGAAGCTGTTGCGTGGTTAGGGAAGAAAAAAAGGTCAATAAAATAATGTAAGGAAATCACAATTCTGAAAAAAAGGCTTTGGATGAATGTTTTTACACTGGGATTAGTGTTTATATTTCTACGTACCTCCAACCGCTGACATGTCGCAATATGCTTGGAAAGTCTCATTTGACCCTGCTGGTCGAATCCAGTAATTACCGTTCGAGTAAACTCCGCTGTACTTGATGTCTTCGCACGACAGGCCCGGTTCAGTAGATACAAGCCCTTTCTTGATCTTGCCTTGAAAAAGAAGAACACCTCATTCAATTGCAAGTATATGCCTGGTCCATTTGTCGGTATAATTCTGATCAACTCTGACAAACATTTCTGAAGTTAACCTGAGAATTTCTTGCCAAAAAGGCTTAAGTTGCTTGGAAAAATGAAAAAATGCTACTCGTAATTTTGTTTTGTTATCATATTAAACAGCAAAACTTAATTAAGTCACCAAGTAAAACACCGTTAAACTGTTATTCGCTGGCATCTCAGCTGCAAAATGGTTTGAATGTTTGAGATACGCCCTGCCAAAAACCTTCTCAGGATGTGCCTCAGATGAAGAAATCTTTCAATTACAAGGATTTCTTCGCCCTCTTCCCATTTCGAAGATGTCCTTCCAACCAGAGTTGAATACGATCTTTGAATTCTTTTAAAAATAGTTGATATAGGGAGAGAGGCTGGAATCCTGCCAAGTCTGATAAGCTCATATTTGGCCAATTTCGATAACAGTTTCTCAAGCCCTTCTGCAACTGGTTTTACCTGCCCATGTAGAGTGTTTAAAACTTTACTTACAACAAGCACCCTTAGGTCCTTGAGGTCCTTGGTCGCCTTTACGTCCAGGAGGTCCCTGAGCACCTTGGTCACCTTTAGGCCCCTGGGAGCCCTGGAAGCCGTGAGGCCCAGGAGGACCAGGAAGCCCTGGGGGGCCGGGAGGTCCACTAGTTCCCTTAGGCCCGGGAGGACCTGGGGGGCCACGCGTGATGTTTCTTGGGCACTGAATAAGGAGGCAGGCATATGAAGTCACTTTTGTCTTAAGTTCCTCTGGGCTGATCGTTGGATTGGTGCTTGATGCTACATTTCGTTTGTGGCGATTGTTAACACCTCCCTGGTACAATGGTGTTGTTCCTTCCGTGAAGTCTTGGTGTTTAAATAAATAGTAAGGTAATAGCTTTCAACACATTTTCATTTATTGTCGAGGAATTGCTAATAACGCGAACTTATGAAATAAAATTATCTAAGCTAAACGAGAAAAGACCTTTCAATTAAGGTCTGGCTTGAGCCTAATTTGCATGAAATCTTGAAATGATTATAGCTTTGCGAAAATTTACCAGAATCTTCCAAAACTTAGCAACCTCGGAAAAATCGGTAACCTTAACTTTCCTATTACGTAAGGAACCGGATATTAGTGTCACGTGACCCGTTATGGTCATGCCCAGGAAAGAAAAGAAAATTTGAATAGGGTGGCGAGATACCACAAAGTAGATATGAAATACAGTATTTTTATCATTGTACCATTGTTCCCTGCGTGAAACTGGCCGGAATGGTTAACTCTCAATTTTATTCGATTAATAATTAAGCAAAACAGGTCACGTGATACCGGTACTTTTCATCTGTTAATATCTTTTGAATAGATTTTACAATCTCTCCGTTCCGGACACCGAAAATCTTTGTAAGGTAAACCCAACATGTACACATGGTTCAGACTTAGTTTTTATCAACAATTCTTACCCCTTTTAGAATTTCCTGTTGATTACCATTATGACATCATGTCTTACGTGACCACATCAGTTCAACCCTAATCGATCGAACTTGCCAAAATAAGGTTTCCTGAAAGTTGTCAGCAACTTTTAGAATTATAATGCCTGGTTGTGGCGGGGGTTCGAGACCCAAAATATTTTTTTTTATTGAGCCATGCCTGGATGCTTGAGTAATACTTTAATCGGGGATTCTATTTACTAGTCATACAGGAAAAACTCCTTCTAAAGGATGCAAAAATCCTTACGAGGCATTCCATTTACAAAAATAAATACCTCCTTGTAAGGGATGCCAAAAGCCTTATGAAAGATTTCACTCACAAGCTAAAAATAGATACCTTCTTCGGAGGGATGCCAATTTCCTTTGGAGGGATTCCTTGAAGAGGTTTTTAAGAGGTGTTTTCTTTTTAAAGAAAAAAAAAGGAAAACACCTCTTTCTAAGGGATGCCTATTTAACTAAGTCCACCTGAGGGATTCCACCAAGGTTTACGCTTCTTTAAGCACTCATTGCATTGCAGGAGTTCAAAATCATTGCATATACATTTCCCTTGAGCCCTGCACTCTCAAACTACACCTTAACACTAACTCTGTAACACTCTAAAACCAGCCTGAATACGAAGTAAATTGCTCGCGTAACAGAAGAGACGCGTGATTGTTTCGCAATCAAAGCCGGATATTAAAACTGTCAAATTTGCCCGCTGCGGGATATAACTGTATTTTAGAAACAAAACTTTAGTTGCTTATATCTCGCTTCAATGGAATC